GAACCATTCCTTGTTTTCTTGTACACGGGTTCTGATTGTTGGCAACGGTGATGACCACTTCGCGGCGCATGGTCTTTTCACGTTGGACAAAGCGCACCAGAGAACACATGTGCTGCCCGCAGCAGCTGTCGAGAAACCATGTGTTTTGCCCAGATGGATCTTCGTGCGCAATCGCTGCGTATGTCAGTTTTGGTTGAAGTTGGTTCTGGTTTGGCGCTGGCGGCACTCCATCAAGGTCATGGGTTGGAGGTGATTCTGTCGTGCAGTCCTCTACAGTGACTCATGTATGTCATGGCTTTCTCCCCTTGTTGCATTTGAATTGGTGTCAGTTGCGCCATGAGTCAACGCTGCATCACGCTGTCCGACGCCAAGTAAACACTTTTGAGGTGGCAAAAATCCAGCTCCGCTGAGTTGCTGCCAGCTCAGCTGAGTTGCTCTTCTGAGGTGCTCATGAATCCTCTGTATGTCCTGATATTCTGCTGCTCCATCGGTGACGGTTTCGAAGAAGAATCGTGTACGCCATCAGTAATTGATACGTGTAAACTTCTTTTTCCTTCGTAGTGTCGTTGCTTGGATATTCGTAGGTACCCATGAAGACGTCCAAGATTTGAGCGCCCTCCATTATGAGCTCAGAGTCAAAGCTCCATGCGTAGAAGTCCTTCCCATTGAAGGGGAACGTAGTCTGCAGCTTCAAGATGTTGGCAAACTACACTTGCATTCCCAACACTTCGTTCGGTCTGTCACTTTGTGCAGATGGTGCCGCGGGTTGTCGAGTCGGCAGGAAGCTGAAGAATCCACATGCCAATTGCTGAGGTGGGTGTTGAATGGGTTAATCATTGCCTCTTGCGGATGATGACCCATCAATACTCATTGACACCATGCCGATGTTTATGCCATTATTGTTGCTGTGAGCTGACTGAGCAGGTGCCGAAGGGTGCTAATAGAGTGATATGAAGTAGAAGAGCTCATCTTATAAGCGCCAATGCCCGAAGGGGGGGGGGCACTTGGCTCGTTGATCCCCTTCCTGCTATGTCTTCAGTTGCAGCTGCATCTGTCTATAACTCAGAGATTGGCAGTGCATCCAACGTTCTTTGTTGCCATTTCATAGTCTTGTACAGTCTTGATAATCAAAGGATGATTCACAAGAGTGTGTCTCGGAGTAGCGTTAGGAACTCAACCTAAGGAGTTTGTAACCGGAACCTAGTCTCCGACTCGCTCTCATACCATCTTGGGCTGAGTGCAGCCCAGGGATCTTTGGCAGAGATAGAGTCATTTGGGCAGGTAGGGTGGTTGATAGCACAGCATAAGTCTTAGATGAATCCCTGCACAGGTGTGTGAGAACAAGTGATTGATTCTAGCAAGGAGATAAAATAGCTTATAAAGTTATACAAGAGAATACAGAAGGACGAACTAACTGTGCACTTCATAGGGGTATATTTGTTTTACGACTCAATAAAGACGACTCAATAAACCACCCATACTATAATACCAGGACGGTCATGTGTCCTTGCCGTCACGCAGATATTTTGCCTCTTGCAAATCTGAGTGCTGGGTTGTAGGGTTAATAGTCAACGATTGTTGCCCTTCGCAATCTCTGTCGTGTTTCATCAGACTGTGTCGACCGTCGAGGGGGTACTGTAACGTGGTTGATTCGTCAGTCCTCGACGTTGCTTTACTCAGGTATTGCATAACTTGCGATACTCCTAAAATGCTTAAATCACTTCTTCATCATTTCCAATAGAACGCTTGCACTAGGAAGCACCTATTGCATAATGTATAAAACTATTTAAATTATACCCTAGCTGCTTTCTAAATTTCAGAAAAACACATCAAGGTGGACATATTCAAGGAAGGTAATTATTAAGACCCGCAAACACCTATTCTCTACTTACAATATTATTTATTGTACATTCCCTTTGAAAATGGCCTATTAGTGAGGGGCGGCGGCAGATCCTCGTACTCGCCTTGCAGAATTCTCGACAATGCCACTTGTCAAAATTCGAGGGCTAACTGCATGGAAATTTTGTGCTGATGTGGCTCGTAGGCAATCTACCTACTTGGAGCGCAGGATCCTTCCAAAATGAGACAAAACTCAGGAAATAAAACGAGTATTGAAAGACTTCCGAGGTAAATTCGGGGTCCTCAAATGATTTACCCTAAACAACGGGTCCTCACAATCCCTTAGCTATAGTGACGGAAACAATTGTCTGGATGTTTTGCATTAATTTGGGTTTTGGGGCTTTCCGACCACTGTACATAAAGTCTTAATGTTTAATGGTGGTGCACTTTGGGAGGGGCACATAGTGGATATGTTCACAGTGCTAGAATCCATAATAGTACATTGCATCTAACTTAGTGCCAAAAGATATACAAATAGTACATTTGGATAATTATTTCCCAGGACAAATAGCAAGCTTCTGAGCTGTGTTTCTAGTACCTGCTCCACCAACACTTGGCCTTGATCACCACCTGCACCCTCCTAAGCATTTTATCTACAAGACTAGTGCAAACCTGTACAAGGATCTTCTCGCACTCTTCCTGGACCCACCCTTTTGCATAAGGTGGTGAGCACCAGGAAAATCGCGAAGTATTTGAGCATATGCAAGAGTATAGTGCACGATTTCATATTGAATGTTATCTCTGAGACTAGCCACGCTGAGGTGTGGCAAAAGATGCCATAAACCGATTAGTCCCATCTTATCACGGATCGCCTTCGTTGTACCGTTGAAGGGTAAAATTACGAGCAGAGTGGCGAAACTAGCGTGTCCATCGCGAAACTTAGGGTAACATAGGACGGTCGATTGTGCACCCTTTCACTAATAGAATCATGTTAAAATCTATGGGTCTCATCACGCTGCAGAAGTCGAAGAAGCCTCGACCGGTGGGGAAGAAAATCCGGGTTGAGGTCTGGTGAGGAAGAGGGTCATTCCAGTGCTACAAACTCATGCTCTCCAAGCCATTCCAAGCCTAGGCAGATCACATGGCTTAGAATGGCTTGGAGAGCAAGAAAATGTTGTGCTAGATAGGCCCCTTTCCTTACCAGACCTCAACCCAGAAATTCTTTCTAAACAGTCACGGCTTCTTCAACTGTTGCACGGTGACGAGACCTACAGATACTAGAGTCATTCTAATAGTGCAAGGGTGCACAGTCGACCGTGCTATGTTACCCTAAATTTCGCGGCAGATACGCTAGTTTTCGCCAGTCTGCTCATAATTTTACCCTACAACGGTACGATGAAGACGATCCATGATAAGACGAGACCAATCGACTTATCGCATCTTTGGCCACACCTCAGCGTGGCTAGTCTCAGAGATAACATTCAATCTGAAATCGTGCACAATACTCGTGCATACGCTCAAATCCTTCTTAATTTTCCTAGTGTTCACCCCCTTATGCAAAAGCGTGGGTCCAGGAAGAGTACAAGAAGATCGCTGCAAAGGTTTGCACTAGCCTCGTAGATAACATGCCTAGGAGGGTGCGGGTGGTGATCAAGGCCAAGTGTCAGTGGACTAAGTAGTAGAAACGATGCTCGGAAGTTTGCTATTTGTCCTGGGAAACAATTGTCTGGATGTACTCTTTGGATATATTTTGGCACTAAGTTAGATACAGTGTACTATCACAGATATTAGTGCTGTGAAAACATCCACCATATGCTCCTACTAAAGCGTACCACCATTAAACATTAAGACTTAATGTACAGTAGTCGGAAAGCCCCAAAACCCTAATAAATGCAAAACATCCGGACAATTGTTTCCGTCACTGTAAATGAAGAACATTGGTCCGAAAAAAAAGACACGCGGTCGTTTTTTCAAGGATGGCTTCTTCCAGACCTTCGAGAGACTGTTGACTTCTTCCAGACCTTCGCCCCGACCCCGAAGATGACTACTCTTCGGGTGCTGCTACACGTGAGGAAAGACACACTCAAGTGAGGGAAACCAAAAGTGAGGGAAACCACACTCAAGTGAGGGAAGACCCATACAAGTGAGAGAAGACACACTCAAGTGAGGGAAACCACACTCAAGTGAGGGAAACCATACTCAAGTAAGGGAAGACACACTCAAGTGAGAGAAGACACACTCAAGTGACGGAAGACACGCTCAAGTGCAGGAAGACACGCTCAAGTGGGGGAAGACACACTCAAGTGAGAGAAACCACGCTCAAGTGAGGGAAACCACACTCAAGTGAGGGAAGACACACTCAAATGAGAGAAGACACACTCAAGTGACGGAAGACACGCTCAAGTGGAGAAAGACACGCTCAAGTGGGGGAAGACACACTCAAGTGAGGGAAGACATACTCAAGTGAGGGAAGACAGACTCAAGTGAGGAAAGACACACTCAAGTGAAAAAAGACACACTCAAGTAAGAGAAGACACAAAAAAGTGACAGAAGACGCACTCAAGTGAAAGAACACTCACTCAAGTTAGGGAAGACACACTCAAGTGAGGGCATATAAACTCAAGTGAGGGAAGACACACTTCAGGTGAGGGAAGACACACTCAAGTGAGGGAAGATACACTAAAGTGAGAAAAGACATACTCAAGTGAGGGAAGACACACTCAAGTAAGGGAAACCACACTCAAGTGAGGGAACACACACTCAAGTGAAAAAAGACACACTAAAGTGAGGAAAGACACACTAACGTGAGAGAAGACGCACTCAAGTGAGAGAAGACACACTCAAAATAGGGAAGACACACTCAAGTGAGGGAAGACCCTCTCACGTGAGGGAAGACACACTCAAGTGAGAGAAGACTGTTATAATCACAATAGGCTCAGATGTGCCTAAAATGAGAGAAATTGTGCACCGTCAAAATTCTGTCAAACAGCTTCAAATATTGATGCCGATCTGATCTGTGCCTCAAACGGTGATCTCTAAATTGGATCTGGAGCGCGTTGATGTCGCCTAGTAGCAGCAACTTGAATCATAAAATTCAATGAAGATTTGACGACTCTATGGCGGTTTGACTGGCACAAGGTATAGCAGCCACTATAGTCTTGGAAGTACAAACATAGCAAGAAGAATTCGAGATGGAGATGGTTCCCAGCCTCTACATACCCCAAGAGCCGAGGTCCAGGTTGGTGGTACACCACCACAGAGTCCCCAACCACGAAGAGTCTCGAAACCAACCCTCCAAGGGGCTACACCAAGTGAAATGTAGCACTACACGAAGTAGCGCTACTATTTTCACTATTTACTATCTATCCGCGTCCCTGGGGCTTGAAATCTTGAGCTCTTGGTCTTGGATCTGCAAGATAAATTCTTCATGAGTTGATGGGGGCTTTCTGCACACACCTGCGACGCGATGGACACTTCACACTCGACAAAATAGAAAAAATACATGCGACACACAAACGACGACTTGACATGCGAGTTGTAAAAAGTCGCTAATGTCTTGACCGACACAAACCACATTGTGATACACCATTCAAACACACACACAAGCACTGGATAGCAATGACATAGACTCACAATTCATTCCATGCCATGCATGCACACACACAAACAAGGACGACAAGCCGAGTGCAAGCCATAGGGTTGCACCAGCTGCCGCTTGCGTGGAGACAAAGAAGAATTGGCCCGGGTATCGATCTTCACTCGAGTCCTTGTCGTAGTCTCCACCTTTCATGCTTGCCGCTTCACCTACACGGCCACCACGGCCTCCACGACCTCTGCCTCTTCCTCCCCTTGCTCCTCTGCCCTCTTGGCCTTGAGAAGGGGTCCATCCATCAGGCAATCTGAAGCAATCTCTCCACATGTGGCCGGTCTTGTGGCAAAAGTGGCATTCGCCATCAAATCGACCGCGCCCACGCCCGTAGCCATTGTTGTTGTTGTTGCTGTGCCATATCCTCCATTACCACGGCCTCCACTGAAGTTACTGCTGCCAAATCTGCCTCCTCGCCCTCTGCCCCTTCCACGGCCGTGCCCACAGCCCATGCTTGCAACTCCGGCACCATCGGGACCCGCCAATTCGCGTCGGCGGAAATCTTCTTGTAAGATTTCCCGCTTCACATCTTCGAGTGAGGGACGGGGCAGATCTCGATTTAGGTTGATGATGAGCGAGGACCATGAGTCTGGAAGTAAGGCCAGCAGCTTGGTCTTCTTTTGAAGGTCACTGTAGTTCTGATCAGCTCCTTCGAGGCATGTCAACAAGTCGAAGAATTTCTGCACTCCTTCCTCCACCGATTCACCTTCGTCAATTCAAAGTGCCGCCATTTGCCGCTCCAAAACCACAGCCACCGCCGCTGTTGCAGGAGCGTGTACACCCTTGAGAGCAGCCCATGCCTTTGGTCCCTTTGCTGGTTCACGCTGAAAAGGCTTGATGTGACGGATTTGGCTGCTCCCCAACGCTTGCCCAAGTAGAAGGTAGCCTTGTGCGCTCTTCCGCACCCACGGGCTCTTCTCCGGGTCGTTCTCGGGGCGCTTCTCCGTTCCTTCCATCACCTCCAGCAGATCATAGTGGTCAAAGATGTTCTCCATCTTGAAGGACCACTCAGCAAAGTTGTCACCGTTGAACTTGTCAAGGCCAAACACTCTAGGCTCATCCCTAGAGGGTCCAAGTCTAGGTTGCACCGGAGCAACGGGTGGATCTTGGTGTTGGCCTTGTGCTTGGGCAGCTTCTCTGCCTCCAGCACCTCTGCCACCCCCTTCCTCAGGCCTAGGCATGGTCGAGACAGCTCCAAGGGGCTCTGATACCACTTGTTATAGTCACAATAGGCTCAGATGTGCCAATAATGAGAGATAGAGAGCACAGTCGGATTTCCGTCAGACGGCTTCAAATATTGATAACGATCTGCTCGCTGACTTTAATGGTGATCTGTAAATTGGATCTGGAGCGCAATGCTGTCGTCTATCAGCAGCAAGTTGAATCATGAAATTCCATGAAGATTTGACGACGCTATGGCAGTTTGACTGGCAGGAGGTACAGCAGCCACTATAGTCTTAGGAGTACAAAAAAACTTAGGAAGAAGAATTCGAGAGGGAGATGGTTCCCAGCCTCTACATACCCCAAGAGCCGAGGTCCAGGTTGGTGGTACACCACCACAGGGTCCCAAACCACAAAGAGTCTCGAAACCAACCCTCTAAGGGGCTACACCAAGTGAAATGTAACACTAGACGAAGTAGCGTTACTATTTCCACTATTTAATATTTATCCGCGTCCCTTGGGCTTGAAATATTGAGCTCTTGGTCTTGGTTCTGCAAGATAAATTATTCTTGAGTTGATGGGGGCTTGCTGCACACACCTGCAACACGATGGACACTTCACACTCGACAAAATAGAAATAACACATGCGACACACAAACGACGACTTGACATGCGAGTTGTAAAAAGTCGCTAATGTCTTGACCGACACAAACCACATTGTGATACACCATTCAAACACACACACAAGCACTGGATAGCAATGACATAGACTCACAATTCATTCCATGCCATGCATGCACACACACAAACAAGGACGACAAGCCGAGTGCAAGCCATAGGGTTGCACCAACAAAGACACACTCCAAGTGAGGGAAGACACACTCAAGTGAGGGAAGACACACTCAATTGAGGGAAGACACACTCAATTGAGGAAGGACACACTTCTAGTAAGGGAAGATACAATCAAGTAAGGGAACAGACACTTCAAGTGAGGGGAGACACACTCACGTGAGGGAAGATACGCTCAAGTGAGAAAAGACACACTCAAGGTAGCGAAGACACACTCAAGGGAAACCACACACAAGAGAGGAAAGACACACTCAAGTGAGAGAAGACACACTAAAGTCAGAAGACGCACTCAAGTGAGAGAAGACATACTCAAGTGAGGGAAGACACTCTCACGTGAGGGAAGAATCACTCAAGCGAGGAAAGACCCATTCAAGTGAGGGAAGAAACGGTCAAGAGAGAGAAGACACACTCCAAGTGAGGGAATATACATTCAAGTGAGGGAAGACACACTTCAAGAGAGGGAAGACACACTCAAGTGATGGAAGATACACTCAAGTCAGAAAAGACACACTCAAGTAAAGGAGACCACACTCAAGTAAGGGAAGACACACTCAAGAGAGGGAATACACGCTCAAGTGGTGGAAGACACACTCAAGTGAGGGATGACACAATCATATGAGAGAAGACACACTCAAGTGAGGAAAGACACACTCAATTGAGGGAAGACACACTCAAGTGAGGGAACACAGACTCAAGTGAAAAAAGACAAACTCAAGTGAGGGAAGACACACTCAACTGAGAGAAGACGCACTCAAGAGAGAGAATACACACTCATGTGAGGGATGACACTCTCACGTGAAGGAAGATTCACTGAGGTGAGGAAAGATCCATTCAAGTGAGGGAAGACACACTCAAGTGAGAGAAGACACACACCAAGTGAGGGAAGACACACTCAAGAGTGGGAATACACACTCCAAGTGAGGGAAGAAAAACTCAAGTGAGAGAAGACACACTCAATTGAGGAAAGACACACTTAAGGGAAACCACACTCAAGTAAGAGAAGACACTCTCAAGCGACAGAAGACACACTCAAGTGAGAGAAGACACACTCAAGAGAGGGAATACACGCTCAAGTGGTGGAAGACACACTCAAGTGAGAGAAGACACACTCAAGTGAGGGAAGACACACTCAAGTGAGGGAAGACACACTCAAGTGAGGGAAGATTCACTCAAGTGAGGGAAGACCCATTCAAGTGAGGGAAGACGAACTCAAGTGAGAGAACACACACTCCAAGTGAGAGAAGACACACTCAAGAGAGGGAAGACACACTGAAAGTGAGGGAAGTCACACTCAAGTGAGAGAAGACACACTCAATTAAGGGAAGACACACTCACGTGAGGGAAGATTCACTCAAGTGAGGGAAGACCCATTCAAGTGAGGGAAGACGAACTCAAGTGAGAGAACACACACTCCAAGTGAGAGAAGACACACTCAAGAGAGGGAAAACACACTAAAAGTGAGGGAAGTCACACTCAAGTGAGAGAAGACACACTCAATTGAGGGAAGACACACTCACGTGAGGGAAGATTCACTCAAGTGAGGGAAGACCCATTCAAGTGAGGGAAGACGAACTCAAGTGAGAGAACACACACTCCAAGTGAGAGAAGACACACTCAAGAGAGGGAAGACACACTGCAAGTGAGGGAAGTCACAATCAAGTGAGAGAAGACACACTCAATTGAGGGAAGACACACTCAAGTGAGGGAAGACACCCTCAAGTGAGGGAAGACACTCTCACGTGAGGGAAGATTCACTCAAGTGAGGGAAGACCCATTCAAGTGAGGGAAGATGAACTCAAGTGAGAGAACACACACTCCAAGTGAAAAAAGACACACTCAAGTGAGAGGAGACACACTCAAGTGAGGGAAGACACACTCAAGTGAGGGAAGACCCATTCAAGTGAAGGAAGGTGAGAGAAGACACACTCCAAGTGAGGGAAGATGCAATCAAGTGAGAAAAGACACACTGAAGTGAGGAAAGACACACTCAAGGGAAACCACACTCAAGTAGGGAAGACACACTCAAGTGACAGAAGACACACTCAAGTGAGAGAAGACACACTCAAGTTAGGGAATACACGCTCAAGTGGTGGAAGACACACTCAAGTGAGAGAAGACACACTCAAGTGAGGGAAGACACACTCAAGTGAGGGAAGACACATTCAAGTGAGGAAAGACACACCCAAGTGGGGGACCACACACTCAAGTGAACAAAGACACACTCTATTGAGGGAAGACACACTCATGTGAGGGAAGACACTCTCACGTGAGGGAAGATTCATTCAAGTGAGGAAAGAGCCATTCAAGTGAGGAAAGAGCCATTCAAGTGAGGGAAGACACAGTCAAGAGAGAGAAGACACACTCCAAATGAGGGAAGACACACTCAAGCGAGGGAAGACACACTCAAGTGAGGGAAGATGAACTCAAGTGAGAAAAGACACACTGAAGTGAGGAAAGACACACTCAAGGGAAACCACACTCAAGTAAGGGAAGACACACTCAAGTGACAGAAGACACACTCAAGTGAGAGAAGACACACTCAAGTTAAGGAATACACGCTCAAGTGGTGGAAGACACACTCAAGTGAGGGAAGACACATTCAAGTGAGGAAAGACACACCCAAGTGGGGGAACACACACTCAAGTGAAAAAAGACACACTCTAGTGAGGGAAGACACACTCACGTGAGGGAAGACACTCTCACGTGAGGGAAGATTCATTCAAGTGAGGAAAGAGCCATTCAAGTGAGGAAAGAGCCATTCAAGTGAGGGAAGACACAGTCAAGAGAGAGAAGACACACTCCAAATGAGGGAAGACACACTCAAGCGAGGGAAGACACACTCAAGTGAGGGAAGATGCACTCAAGTGAGAAAAGACACACTGAAGTGAGGAAAGACACACTCAAGGGAGACCACACTCAAGTAAGGGAAGACACACTCAAGTGACACAAGACACACTCAAGTGAGAGAAGACACACTCAAGTTAGGGAATACATGCTCAAGTGGTGGAAGACACACTCAAGTGAGAGAAGACACACTCAAGTGAGGGAAGACACACTCAAGTGAGGGAAGACACAATCAAGTAAGAGAAGACATACTCAAGTGACGTAAGACACACTCAATTAAGGGAAGAAAAACTCAGGTGAAGGAACACACACTCAAGTGAGAAAAGACACACTCAATTGAGGGAAGACACACTCAAGTGAGGGAAGACACACTCAAGTGAGGGAAGAAACTCTCACGTGAGGGAAGATTCACTCAAGTGAGAGAACACACACTCCAAGTGAGAGAAGACACACACAAGTGAGAGAACACACACTCCAAGTAAGGGAAACCACACTCAAGTGAGGGAAGACAAACTCAAGTGAGGGAACACACACAAAAGTGAGAGAAGACGCACTCAAGTGAGAGAAGACACACTCAAGTGAGGGAAAACACACTCAAGTTAGGGAAGACCCATTCACGTGAGGGAAGACACACTCAAGTGAGAGAAGACACACTCCGAGTGAAGGAAGACACACTCAAGTGAGGGAAGACACACGTCTAGTGAGGGAAGATACATTCAAGTGAGGGAAGGCACACTTCAAGTGAGGAAAGACACAATCAAGTAAGGGAAACCACACTCAAGTAAGGAAAGACACACTCAAGTAAAAGAAGACACACTCAAGTGAGAGAAGACACACTCAAGAGAGGGAATACACACCCAAGTGAGGGAAGACACACTCAAGTGAGGGAAGACACTCTCACGTGAGGGAAGATTCACTCAAGTGAGGGAAGACCCATTCAAGTGAGGGAAGACGAACCCAAGTGAGAGAACACACACTCCAAGTGAGAGAAGACACACTCAAGAGAGGGAAGACACACTAAAAGTGAGGGAAGTCACAATCAAGTGAGAGAAGACACACTCAATTGAGGGAAGACACACTCACGTGAGGGAAGATTCACTCAAGTGAGGGAAGACCCATTCAAGTGAGGGAAGACGAACTCAAGTGAGAGAACACACACTCCAAGTGAGAGAAGACACACTCAAGAGAGGGAAGACACACTGCAAGTGAGGGAAGTCACAATCAAGTGAGAGAATACACACTCAATTGAGGGAAGACACACTCAAGTGAGGAAAGACACACTCAAGTTAGGGAAGATACACTCAAGTGATAAATGACACATTGAAGTGAGGAAAGGCACACTCAAGTAAGGGAAACCACACTCAAGTGAAGGAAGACACACTCAAGAGAGGGAATACATGCTCAAGTGGTGGAAGACACACTCAATTGAGAGATGAAATACTCAAGTGAGGGAAGACACAGTCAAGTGAGGGAAGACACAATCAAGAGAGAGAAGACACAGTAAGAAGTGCACATCCCATGTTGTAGAATCCTCCAACTTCTTGCTTGCTCTTCAAAGGGTAAACCAACACTGCTCGAGTGTGGTTATCC